TAAAAAGTACTCCCTTTAACAAGGATTAGAAACTCCAAATATGCTAAACATTAAATAAGTAAAAGTCATAAAGTTATAATCATAGATATCAAACAGTTTCAATGTAATTCTAAAAACCATATCTCAGTGTGACTTCAAGTCCTTTGTTTATATTTCTTTTCACCAGGCTTGGTGGTGCACATCTGTAATCCCAACCCTGGGGAGGCTAAAGCAGGAGGATTGCAGAGTTTGAGGTCAGTCTGAGCTACACAGCCTGAGTCCAGCATGGATTACACTGCAAGACCCTGTCTCAAAAATAACAAAAGGGGCTGGAGATTTAGCTCATCGGCATAAGCGCCTGCCTTGCAAGCAGGCAGTCATGAGTTCGATCCCTGGTACCGATAAAAAGGAAAAAGACAAAAAAAAAAAAAAAAAAAGATAATGGTTTGACTTGTATTTCTTTTCTTCTGTACCTAAAAACTAAAAGGCATGATTTCTAGATGAGTGTTTTAGATGCTCATATTTGTATAGAACACTACATTTTAGTTAATTCTTACAAATGAGTTTAAAAAACACCAATTAGCCAAAGAATCTCAATATATTCTGAAAAAGCAAAAACCAGCCCTATAATCCTAGAATTTGGGAGGCTGAGACAGAGAATGGCTGCAAGTTTGAAGCCAGTCTGGGCTACATACCAAGTTAAAAGCCAGTCTGAACTACACAGCAAGACCCTATTTCAAAAAACAAAAACCAAAAAAACCCCAAAACTAAAACCAAAAACTGTTAAAACTCTCAAGTTTTCTTTCACAAAGAGCCCCTAGCAGCATGCTTACTATACTTAGATTGGCAGTGCAAAGAGGTGGTTTTTTGTTCTTAATCACATCCCAAAGGTTTTCCTGTAGATTCAACTGCACATAATGTTCCTCCTTAATGTTATCTCAAAATAATTTTATTTAAATCCAGAGGTTAAAAAATGGAATGGGTACCAGGAATGTAGAGGAGAGGGGAATTTTCTGAATTAGACAGAGATTGTGGTTATGAAACATTACAAATGTACTAGAAGCTACTAAACTGTTCACTATGATGACATGGTTAATTTATGTAAATTTCACCTCATCGCTGGGCCCAGAGGCACATATCTATAATCCCTGATCTGGGAGGCAGAGGCAGGAGGATCATGAACTAGACTTAGCAAGACCTTGTCTCAAAAAAAAAAATGTTTGGGGATACAGTTTAGTGTAAAAACCCTGCGTTACCCCAGCACTACTGGCCTCCCTTGCCTCCTCACCATCCTGACAAAATTCAACTCTTCAGAAAAAACAATACCACCGTGTAGCCTCATAGGAAAGCATCTGTCAAGTGCATGTCAGGCCCTGGGTTTGATCTCCAGCACCAGTCCCCCCACCCTAAAAAACAAACCCCATATTGCTACCAGGTTCAAATGCTACGTTAAGTCTTAGAGATTTTTAGAAAAAATGCATTATAAATTAAATTATTATATGTGCACACAACTATAATCAGTGAGAGCTCTAATGATGTCAACTGAAAACAATGCTTGGTAAGTATCAAAAGAATATTGCTCAATTACATGTGTAAATAATCTCAGAGAAAAATAAAGAGGGGCTGGGGGTTTAGCTCAGCGGAGTAAGTGCCTGCTTGGCAAACGCTGACACCAAAAAACAAAAAACAAAAAACAAAAAACCACCTGTAATACAAAGTGAACTACTCGAATACCATTTACAAAAACAAAAAATAAAAAAGAGACCTAAAACATTTACTCCTGTGACACTGAATGTAAAGTGAATTCAAATTTAGGGAAAGTTTTCTCCAAAGTTCAATCCATTAGGAAAACATAAAGTATCTTATCTATTATACAAAAGTAAACATTATTACATTAGAGGAAAACAAGCACAAGTATGATCAATAACAGAAATGAATGCTTTCTAATTATTCAGGGTATGCAAGGCAACATCACTGCAGATTGGTACCCCTCTCAGTGAAATGTAAGAATACACTAAGAAATCTAGAATAAAAAATATTTCCTTGTACAAATGCCTACAACATTTTTCTTATACTCTCTGAGTTCAACCCAGCACAGACTTCAGGATTAAACAAAAGAAAAGGAGATCTCTATGTGGATCCTAGGGAACAGGCTGATTTTGAAATCTGTAGCTGTTCTGGTATAAGCTAGTAAATAGAGCACACATGCGAACAGCAGGGTATTTGCATCACTAAAAGCACTGAGTGGTTCACCATGACTGGTACAGGCCAATCTAGTGAATCCACTCCTGAAGAATATCTAATCCTAAACATAGACAGGGCCAAACCTAAACCAGGTCAGAGTCCCTGCCAGGGAACATCTGATCTGAGGTGTTCACCAAATAGGATCATCTATCAGTTTATTTTTCACTCTGTTGGATGCTCCCCACTTTCAAGAGACATTCAGGGATAAAACTTATTAGACCCCATCAAACTCCACGTCAAACATCTGAGGTGAAAAATACTGCACATTCTCAATGATCTGTGGTTTAAAAAAATTATAAACAAATTTCAAACATTATCTGACTCATCTTTAACACCACTGAAAGTTCTAAAAAGTTACTTCTAAATTTTCATGAAGTACTTCAAAGGTACAATTTTGTAATTGTTTACATAACAAATTTTTTAATTTTATGAACAAAATTTAATATCCAAGAAACAGAATAACAATACTTAATTTACATAGTAAATTAATAGCTATGTCACAAATCTATTCTATTTAAATGGTATCAGTTTATTTCATAGTACTCAGTTTTGCAGAAAACAAAAATAAGTGTTTCTTTTCTGATTCATATGAATAAATACTTTCTTGGTCACGTAAGTGAGTATTTGGCAGGGGATAATAGAAAAGTAGAGCTAATGCCAAGTACTGTATTACAAAACATAGTTTGAGGTTTAAAAAAAAATTTAACACAGATGATGTTTCAAAATTTAGTAGTGACATATATGGTGGCAGCAGTAAAGCCCTGAGTTTGAGTAAGTTCTTCTACTTTAGGATATGACCTTTTTAAAATTTTACTTTTTTATTTATTTTAAAATTATTTATTTATTTTAATGAGGATAAAACACAATAAAACCAATCAAAACAAATCAGTGCAAAAGAAGCAGGGCTAAAAATCATTATGAAATCAATAATGAAGCATTTGAAGGCATAATGCTTTTTGATGCCTTCAAAATAGCTGCAGACAACTTTGGACATAGTACAAATCAAACAGAACAGACTAGAAACAATAAGTATATGACCTTTCTGCTATGGTAGTTACTCAGCTTCTCCTAGCCTCAGTTTCTTTGCATGAGTAAAGACAATACTATCAACACTGCAGCATAATTAAGAGGATTAAGTGAGATGTTTCTACCCAACAAATATGCGCTAAAATTTCTTTCAGGAACAAAATTATCCTTTCCAAATCTTTAAAAAGAATCCAATATTAACATTTGTTTTAACTTTTACTAAGAAAATGAAAGTATAATGTTTACGTTATGACTTCAAGGCTTCTTAGGAAATGTTCACATTATTACGTGAGAAAATCTTAACTGAAATGAGACTAAACACTGATATTGAAGATATAACAATTGAGGAACCACATCTTTAAACAATTTTGACATAAAATAAGTAAAATCAATTTCCATCTGAAAGTTCACCATCGTTCAAAAGAGCATAATATCCACAACGGTTAGGCATAAAGTACTGTTTATCCACTAGCCTTCAAATCCTCCACGTTTATTCAATTAATTGTCTATTCTTGTGAAAGAAGTAGGAACTAGACTAGTCCGTTCATTAAACTTATCACCTGACAATGCTTTTAATTATGATAGACACACAATTCCAATTTGAAATTCACCCTTTTTAAAAGGGCAAAAGATATTAACTGTTACTCTCTCTGAACGGTCAATCTTCCCTTTAAGAATTCGAACTAAAGCCCCTACCATGAGAGACTGCAACTGAATATTAAGCAGTGGAAAGCAATTTTCAAAACAAAACCACAGTTGTTGTTGTTTTTTAGCAATTTGTAAAAGTTTTGAAATCCTACAAATTATGGCTTAGAAATCGAACTTACAGGAAAAGATTGGTCTTGAATAATTTTAGGACAAATTAGTAAAAGGCAAAACTAAAACTACAAGAAGTACTATGGCTGGAGATAAACCACTTCTCACTCTTGAAGAAGTGCATTTTAGGCTAGTTAATGTTTCTTGCTTCGCACACAGATAATTCAAAACGGGTCGTTTGGAGAAAAGTTCTACTCCAACATTACAATTTTGTCTCCGCGTTGCCAGTAAGTGGCTTTGTTTCTAATTTCTGGGACTATTTTGGAATGTCAAGAGTTATACCATTACTGCTCCAGAAGAGCCCTTGTTTCAACTCACTCTCACCAGGGACGCGAGCGGCAGTGATGTTTACAGAGAACTGATGCTTAGAGACGTCTGCACAGATACAACCTTCATCGCCCCGTCCTTGACCAAGAACCACATTTTGTGTTTTGTTGTTTTTGCACTACTTTTTTTTTTTTTAAAGACACCTGCACGCTCAATTTTCCCTTCGCTAACAAGGGGAAACAAGATTGTCTGGGGCTTAATTTCCAGGCGTTCCAGGGAAACGGACACCGTAAAGCGCACTCGGCAGGAGAGAGGCAGGGGAGGGAGCAGCCCCGAGGTGGGGACGCCGGGGCCGCGCCTGTTTACAGACGCCTCCGCCCTCCCACACCAGCCGACGGGGTCCCCACAGCATTTCCAGCGCGCCTCTCCGCCGGCCGCGGCCCTCACGGGGGCTGGGGGACCCGGCAGCGGTGGCCCTCTCCTTCCCTCGGCCTCCGTCCCCCGGCAGGCCCAGCGGACGGCACGCGGAGGCCTGAGGCCTACAGGACGCCGGCCAGTGACACCCGGGCCGGGGAGGTCGGGCGGGCGCGGCCGGCCCCTTCTCCGCCGCAGCCGCCTATTGTTCAGACCGACCGCAGCCCCAGCTGCCCGCGCAGCCCGCCGCTCACCGCGCTGGTCCGAGCCGCAGCTCCTCTCAGCTCCGAGTTTCCGCGGCCGTCGCCACCGCCGCGGCAGCCGCCGTCGTCGCTGCTGCCACCATCGACTCTGACTCTGTCCCAGGCCGCCGGGCCACGGCTGTCGCCGCCGCTACCACCAGCGCCGCCTCCAGCCCCCCACCTGCTGCTGCCGAGGCTGCTCCTGCAGCAGGGGCCATCTTGTTGGTCGGCCTCCTCTTCCTCCTCCTCCTCCTCCTTCTCCTCCTCCTCCTCCTCCCCCCAGTCCTCTGCCGCCCGGTAGCTCGTTGTCCTCGTCTCCTTCCTCTTCCTCAGACTCCGGCCCGCCCCGGAGACTGGGGCGGAGAAGAGGGCGAGGCTCCGCCTCCTGGGGCGGGGCGAAAGGGAGTGGGCGGGGCGAGCGGAGGGCGGGGCGGGCGCGGGGCGAAGCTCTGAGTCAGCAGCCACGACGCCCGGGAGGAGCCCGCGACGCGCCCGCGCCCCCACGCCCCGAGCCGGGAGCCGGTGCCGGTGCAGTTGCCCAGTTGCCGGCGTCCGCCCTGTCCGCCCGTGACGACGCCTTGGGCCCAGGCGGACGGGATGAATTGGAACAGTTCCGTTTTTGCCGTCGGGTTCCGCGCTGTCAGTACTCCTGTGGCTGTCACTGCGCTGCACCCTTTCTGTGTCCTTTTCTTTTGCGGACGCCTCACCTCACACGCCACGTTTTTTTCCTTCGCATTTCTCCGTAACACTAGTTTTGCTCTCCGTCACCTGTCACAGAGAATCCAAACAGTTCAGCCTCCCGAGGCAGTGGAGCACCCCGTAGACTGACCAGCCCTGGTGCCTTAGTCTCTCTCCAGCTGGGTGAACAATTAAGAGCAGCACCGGGTGACAGGAGAAGATTCCAGTAGAAGCTCTCCTGGATTAAAAAACCAACTTTTGCACCTTTGAAAAGTTGCCTGGTGGAGGGGGGTAGGGGACATCTTGACAATTCAGGTTAGCCAAATTCTTGCTTTTGAAGAGAGAGATCTGAATAGAATTTTTGTTTTGAGAGTTTCGCTCTATATTCCAACTTGTGACCCTCCTGCCTCAGCCTGCTGAATGTTGAGATTACAGGCCTGCGCAGCCCCACGCCTGGTTATAGAATTATTTTTAATACCATATGGTATTACTTTCAAAATAAATGGTCTAAAATAAAGAGTTCTCAAATAAACACCCACTTAATGCTCTATACTCTACACTTTACTTCAGGTCTATCAAGGCCTGGGGAAGAAGAGAATTTGTTCTGTCCCTTCATGGCTGGCATCATTGCTACTACCAAGAAAAATTATGCTTCTGTCTCTTAACTTGATAGTAAATTGAATTACTGTAATATAGTGTTTTTATAGTTGTAAAACATGTATCACGCACTTGCCCAAACTTAGCAAGGAAGGATTCTTTTTAGTTAATAGTATCCTCCCACTAAAATTACAGCTTCTTTTTAGAAGACTTATTGACTGAATTTGCTGCCTTTGAAGTGGACCAAATCTATCCTCATCTCCCCAGCTCGCTAATATACTAGCTTCTACTATGAATTTTCTGTGCTCGCAGTCACTTCTCTGAAAATATTACATAGGAAATTCCAGAAACGAATAATTCATGTTTTAAATGACTTGTTATAGTATGTTGTTATAGCTTTCCTATTTTATTGTTAATTATTGTTGATTTCTTACTGTGCCTTGGAAATTAAATTTTATCCTAAGTATAGGAAGACAAAAGAAAAACAGAAGGTCCTTCCTTGATTGTAGGGATCCAGTGAACATCTGGGTATATACTCTGCAAATGGTAATCTCAGCTACTACAAGGGAATTAGGCTAGCACGTTAATTTAAAGGATATCTCTTAAAAAGGTTTTCTCTCAAACAAGGCCGCTGTCCCTGCTAGAAAAAAAAAAAAGATTAATGTGTTCCTCCTGCCTTTTCCTCCTCCTCCCGCTCACTCCTAGGGAACCTTCCACAACAAGGTTTTAGCAGCTGTTGCTATGCAAGCATGCCAACTTCTCTGTGTAGGTGAAGCACGAGTAACTCAGCTTCCAGAACAAGCAACCTAGATAATATAATTATTTGAAACATTAATATTGTACTTTAGATGGCAAAGACCCTTCAAAATTCCCTGATAGGATTTTTAAAATTTATTTTTGTGTCATCAATATTTCAGTTAAAAATTAAAAGCAGGGGTGTTTCTCAAAGTTCATTTTAATGAAAAAAATCATTTTAATCATAAAATTTAGCAGAAAAAAAGGAGCAACTTTGAAGAAACAAGCATTTATAATCAGGACTAGTCTCTAAGAAGTCATTTATATGTTGTGGTTAAACTAAAATTACGAGTTATATCAAGTCCTCTGAGACTTAAATCTATTGAGAAGGAAGATAATGTGGGAATTCAGCAGGAGGGGCAAAAGAAAACATAATCGGAGTTTTATTCCATTTATTCCATAACATTGTCAGCCATTTTGAAATTTTAACTAATGAATTGAGCTTTTTCCCCCGATTTATGCTGTTTTTTAAAAATTTTTTTTGTCTTTTTTTTCCTTTTTATCAGTACCAGGGATCGAACTCACGACTGCCTGCTTGCAACGCAGGTGCTTATGCCGCTGAGCTAAATCCCCAGCCCCTAAAAATTGTTTTTATAATTGTCATTGTGTTGACATTCATTGTGAATGAGGGCAAATAAGATTGAATGAGACATTATGTTGGTTTAAATGTACATAACAAACCAAATGTACATATATAATTTCAATTTCAAAGCTTTTTGCTGTTTTTTGGGACACGATCTTGCTGTTTTTTGAGACACAATAGTCCAGGTTGGCCTTGAACTTTCTGCATAGCTCAGACTGACCTAGAATTTGTGGCAATACTTTTGCCTCAGCCTCTGAAGTGTTGGCATTACAAGATGCCTGGTTTAAATGTCAAACCCTTAATGTTGATTATTCATTTAATTTAGAGATATCTCTGTTGCTACAGAAAACAAATAGTGTTTTATGAGGTGCCATAAACTAAAGCTAAAATGTTAAGAATGCACTAGTTAAGGCAGAGAGCTTACATGTTTTATAGTCATTTGTTTTTAGAAATTATTACTTTGTAGCTTCAAGACAATTTAAACCATTCAGTTCTGTTTCATATTTTATTTAATCTCATTTGGAATGCTCAGAAATTTAGACTCTGCGCTGGCCTCTACCACTAATATATCTTGAAAATTAAATGAATCATTTTGTATGAAGTGCTTTGTGCTACCACACAGTAAGTGTTCAATAAAAATTTTTAAAATTCATTTTATGACAGCCAGGCATTGTGGTGCATACCTATAGTCTCAGCCGTCTGGGAAGCTGAAGTAGGAGGATCAAAAAGTCAAACCTAGCCTGGGTAATTTAGTGATTTAGCAGGACTCTTTCTCAAAATTTAAAAAAAAAAAAATTAAGGAATAGGGATGTAGCTCAGTGAAAAAGCTCAGGGTTCAATCCCTTGTACTACAAAAAAATTTATTTTTAATTTTATGGTTGAGTGTGATGGTATATACCCATAATCTCCAGGTACTTGGGAGACTGAGGCAAGGGGATCACATGTTTGAAGCCAGCCTGGAAAATTTAGCAAGGGACTCACTCTCTCAAAATGAAGTTTTAAAAAGGGCTAGGGAATGCAGCTCAGGGGCAGAGGACTTCCCCAACGTATGTGAGGCCCTGAAATCAATCCCCAGGACAATAAAGAAATGAAATTCATTTTATGTATATCATTATAGTCTTTAAATTCTTGATCAAATAACAATGACAAGCTATCAAATACAATTTTGTTCTTATCATATACCCTAGAAAAAGTGGGATTTTTTTTTTTAGGTCATATACAAGTCAGTTACAATAATGCCTTATGAAATTTTGAATATATTTTCTCAAGTACCTTATTTTTATTCCTTTAATTTTTTGTTTTGTTTTTATTTTTGTTTTTGAGGCAGAATCTTACTGTGTAGCTCATGCTAGCATAGTGAGTTGAATCTTGAGCTCTCTATGTATAGCCCAGGCTAGTCTCAAACTCAACATTCTCCTACCTCAGCCTCCTAAATGCTTCAATTACAAGTGTGCACCACCATGCCTGTTGCTTTAATACTTTCTGAAAACAACATATAAATTTTAGATTATGCTGAATGAGTTTTGAAGAGACTACATACTTTAAAATTGCTCCAGAATGTTGTCAGCCTTTAGTTGTGTTTGTTATAACGTTTTATGAGTTATAAAAAAAAATTTTTGAGACAGGGTCTCTCTATGCAGTTCAGGCTTATGCCACTGAGCTAAATCCCCAGCCCCGCATCCAGCTGAGTTAAAATTTTTATTCTAAACTGGTGATGGTATATGCCTGTAAATCTCAACATTCTGGGAGATTGTGGTAGGAAGACAAAGTTCAAACCCAGCAATTAGCTGGGCAATTTAGCTATTTAGTTAAATCCTGTCTCAAAATAAGGAACAAGAAGGCAACCTATTTGGGACCCCTCCTGTCTTACTCCTCACCCCTATTCCTCATTTCTTTTCTGCAATAAAAGTTCCTACTCTTAAAAAAATTTTTTTGACATATAATAAAGTGTACTGATCTGTTTGGTCAAATGAGATACAAAGTTGAAATAAATCAACAACAACAACAAATGAATGACAAACGTGTTGGAAATACAGCTCAGTGTGAAGGACTTGGATTTAATTCCCAGTATTAAAAAATCCTTATTCTAGTGTCTCAGACTCTAAATGCTGACAGTGGTGATATTACAATAATAGCTGTGTACCCTAGTGTATAAAAGCATAATCATCATTCTGGGCATGGTGGCTACCTATGATCCCAGCCCTCAGGAGGCTGAGGCAAGGAGGATCAAGGAGAGAATTGGAGGCCAGGCTGGGCTAGATGGTGAGTTCATAGCCAGGCACTGTCTAAAAACAAACAAACACCCTCTCAGTTTGTGACACCAGGGGATGAAGGAGAATAAGGGATGAAAAATTGATGTACAGATAGAACCTGAGAAATCTCCAGGATAATCTGTACAGGAGAGGGAATATATCCTCAGACTCCTGCACAAAACAGAGACCTAAACTGAGTTGCTTGGCTTTTCCAAACTGCCTTCGGTAAAAGTGGGAAGGAAAGACAGCCCTGGCTCTGCTGCCACCC